TGTGCTTAATGCATTGTATACTGTCTAACTCAGGGGTGGCCAATCTTATCTGTAAAGGGCCAGTGTGTATGCGGGTTTTCGCTGCAGCTCCCTAATTAGATTACTAATTAGAGGACTGATTGGCTGAGTAGTCCTCACACCTGGGTGTGAACAGCTGACCTACAGGTTATCCCAAAAACCTGCATACGCACCGGCCCACCCCTGGTCTAACTGGACACTGAATGTTTGCAAGGAAGAGCGGTTTAATGGAGTACATACTATATACTGTGAGACTGAAAGACAGAGGAAGGCAGGAGTGGGGAGGGTGTTATTTAGGAGGGAGGGTAGAAGAGGTGTATACAGCAGGGGCAGCTGTCAGAATATTTGGCACTCATTGCCATGTGGTTGCTGGGGGATACTCAGGAAGACGTCACTGAGAGAAGATGGACACAGAGAATGAATAGGGACGGAGTCTGACCTGGGCCCTGGCAGTTAATCTAGATACGTCCAGAGTCACTGGTAAATCTATGCAGATCTGGCGCTAGAGGGAATCTGAACTGGTCCAGAGTTATTGGTAAGTCTAGGCAGATCTGTAGTAATGATGGTATTATGGTAGACAAGTCCAGTGTGAAGCAGAACCTGAAGAGGACCACACTTGGTGCGTAAATGGTGACTGTTTTAGAAGTAAGCCTTCTCACTATCAGTTGCAACAGTCGTAGTGATGCCCCGATATGGCACTTAATCAGTGCTTTTATCACCAAGACTTAATCTCTTTGACACTCAGACTATACAATTCAAGCTTCACAATTCAAGTATGACAGCAAGCATCCCTCAGGAAACTGGTGTTAACAAAAACACCGTAAACTAAGGAGACAAAATCTGCAGAATAATAATCAATACGTGGATATTCTTAATCTTAGGCCAGCCCTGTTTGCAGTGCGACTGGTGTGGCCGCACTCCAGACGCCCCGTCAAAAAGGAAACTTGCCTAGATAGTGACAGGCTAAATAATAATATGCTGTTAAATAATTTTTCTGTCATTGATTGTATGCAGCTGCATTTAATCTAAATATGTTATTTGGCCTGAATATTAGGGCTGTCATGTAGTACATGTAGGCTATTCATCGTGTGCTATTGGGCAGATTGTTTTTGGTTCAGTACAAACAATGAAATGAATGAATGCATTTATTGATATAGCTGAAACCTAAATTCACAAGTAGATTTTCAGTATATTACATTATGCTAATTGTGGCTGTGAGTTTGGTTATGGGTAATGCTGGTTACAATCAGTTATAATCAATGGTTTGGGAACATTTTGGTTTACACCAGCACTGGAGAGAAAGTAGTTGATAAGACCAAGATTGTCTGTCAGCTCTGTTATACTGTCATATATATCATCAGTGTGTTTGTACAACTACAGCAAGGCAGAAACAGCCTCTGCAAGTTTAGTTTCCCAATGGTCTTTGCTTTTGGATTGTAGCTCTTCCTAATGGTTTTAATAATAAATTTCAAAACAAATTCTGTTTCCCCTGTTGTACCGAAATTACACTGAACCATGAACCTAAAACCCAGGTTTGTACCGAACCGTGAGTTTTGTGGAGCATTACCCCCCCCCCCCCTACTAAACATACACTGGATGTATATACTTTATCACATAGCCTAGGTTAATGTAACCTGCGTGGCCACACTACTGTTAGGTGCTGGCTAGTCCTTTAAGGTTATGCTGTACACTGTCAGTGATTGGTTACTTATTACTCTTCATTATAGTCACATCTGTATTACAATGACCAAACAGCAGCAAACACAATGATTCCTCTTACTTGGTTTATATTGGCCTCAGCTGGGGCCCCAAATATGCTGGCTTTCCCCGGGCCCCGCCCCTCCACAGAGACAGGCCTGCCTGTGTGTGTCTGGTTCTTGTGTTTCCTCTGTAAATTGTCCATAGTGTGCGTTTGTGCATGGCATCTCATCCAGGGTGTCCCCAGCCTGTGCCCTGTGTTGGACTGGCATCCCATACAGGATGTCCCCAGCCTGTGCCCTGTGTTGGACTGGCATCCCATACAGGGTGTCTCCTGCCTCATGCCCTGTGCTTCCAGGAACAGGCTTCACCCTCAGCGTGACCCTGTCCTGTGTAAGCGGATATAGACAATGGATGAATGCAACTGTACCTTTGTCGTTATTTGACTGGTGTTCCTTTTTGTACCTGACCCTCAAAAATCACATCACCAAAAGTATCTATGGTATATGGTATATATATTGCTTTAATGACACTATAGTGGTGCCCACATCTGCGGCTGATCCGTCTGGGTACAGTACGAGAAGGTGCTTGTTCTGTCTGTGATGGAGCCCTGGTGCCACGTAACAGCTGACCATGGTATTAATATAGCCCCCTGAGCAGGACACGGGCCTGCTGTGCTTCTGTCCATCTCAGGCCCTGATCTGGAAAACAAAAAAAAAGAGGTTATGTTGAGTCACTCTATACATTTAAAGGAGACATGATATATTTCTGAGAGCAGGGGGAGATCGAGGACATCTGGATGTGAAAGAAGTGAGAGACTGCAGAGTCTGAGAGAGCAGGAAGGAGTGGGCGGCGGCCAGACCTCTCCCGCCTGCTTGAGACAAAACACTGGGGAAATCCCAAATTCAAATGTCATTCCTTTAACGACGTAGTTGCTTCTCGTTTACGGCACACTAATTCAGAGTCTCACTGTTTTCTGTCTTACCTCAGTCCATATTTCATTGATTCTTCAATGGTGCTCACTCGTAGGCTGGGAGACCCCTCTCCTCTCTCTCTCTCCCTCTCTCCCACTCTCCCGCTCTCTCTCCCTCCCTCCTTCTCTCCTCCTCCATCACCCACCTGCCCACCATCTCCCCATTCTCTCTCCTATCTACTTTGCCGTGATTTATTTGCCCCAGTTCCAATATTTGTCGTCACTGTTTTCCCCTCCTTGTCTAAATGTCACCCCTTCTTCTAAGACAATGCCAGGAGAAGGAGAGAAAGCGAGAGGGGGAGTAAAGAAGATGGAGAAGGGGGTGGGGGGCACTCATAAAAAGAGCAACAAAGTTTGGGAAAATCAAACATTAGGTAAGGACCACGTAGGCTGGCCCGTGTTCGTGTTATGGTCTCTGCAGAGGTCCCACGCACATGTGACGCCTCAAGGCACGCTATCCCGATGACGCGACGTGCCCGGCCTGCCGTGTGACCTTTTGAGTTTTTGCATGAGGTCATCGCCCGACGTCCTGGCTCTGGGTCCCCCCAAAGATGCCCTATGCGCACCTGGGGCAAGCGGCCATGGTCCCAGCCATAAACACTGGCGCTGAAATTCAATGCGCGTCACTTTTTATGACTTGTGCAAAGGCGACGCGACAGACAGTGGCCATCTCTCAGTGTCATGGCTAATGCAGGGCTGCGTGACCCACTGGCCACCTCCCTCTGCTCTCACCCTATATCACTCCCTCCCACCCTGCCCTTCTCCTCTTTATAACCCCTCTTCAGCCTTGCCATCCTCACTCCCACACTTTCTGCTGGACTCACCAAATCTTATTAGCGCTGTTTTCTGTAGGGCAAATCCGAGGAAACTTTTCAGCCCGGCGGAAATTACAATGCTCTTAGCGTCTTTGTCCAATCAACTTTGGAGGATTTTTAGAAAATAAATACACTGTGCCACGTACAGCCGTGTCCTGTAAGATTCTGGGTAAATTTTAAAGTGCAGATTTATGGAAGTTAAACTTAGGCTGAGGAAGCCTTAGGGTCACTCTCTCTCTCTCTCTCTCTCTCTCTCTCGCTCTCTCTCTTTCTCTCTCTATAAATGCACAGCTGATGGTAACGGGAGAGAAAGAGAGAGAGGATAAATGAATATTGACAAAAGTTCGACTAGACAGCAATAATTCTTGAAATAATTCTTATTTTACTAACATTATTTTAGAAATTTCATATTAATTTACTGCATAGGATGAAGAATTGTATAAGTAATATTTAAAAATCAGTAACAGAAAAAAAGAGTAATTTTTGATATAGTTACAAAAATTGGTTATTTTACATTACCACAAAACAGGTTAGAAGTAAATTATTCAAAATCCTGGCAAAGTTGGACTTTTAACTTTCATGATAGCACCGTTGTGTTTCTGAAGATAATATTTGGACATTATCATAGAATGAATTGGTAAGTAATTATTTTATTATTTTAATCCTTTTATGGTGAAGTGCCTTATAATGACCATCAAATCTCCAGTCCTTTTACAGCACAGCAAATAAAACAGCACCCCCTGCTGTTTGTAAATAAACAAATTCAGTTAACAACGTGACACAACCTTATTTCTCATTGGTCAGTGCTGGACTATTGCATAATGGTCCACTTTGGATGGATATAAAATGTATAAATATGTCTAAATATTTTTGTCATAGGCAATGATGCATAACTAGTAGAATCTTGTGTAAAATCGTGTAAAATTAGTGCAATCATTTATTTGCCTACCTGCTGTATACCGTACTTACACAGTTGAACACTGCAGATTTTAACATGGTTAAAATACTAGATAATACTAATTTACATAGTATATATGTAGAATTAATTTAATCAGGGAGCACAGATAGTATGTAAAATAATTACAATAATATAGCTAAATATTTGTATACTGTCAAAACAATTTTATCCCACAGAGGCAGATTGAGACATTATTTTAAAGTGGAGAGAGCAATATAAACTATAGAAATATGAGTAAAGGTAGCTAATTATAATGTTACACGTTATAATTACATGTTTGTGATGATAATTATCATTCCAGTTCAGAGGAGTTCAACAAGTGATTAATGTTGATTCAATCCACAGATTTGAGAGGATAATCCCAGGCAAGAGAAGCAGGGAGGCACGTCTGCACTGCACCTGACAGGGAGATGAGGGTGTCCGCATAGACAGTCTGACTTACTCCAGGACACAAGCAGAGGCAGAGAGTCAGACTCTTGCACACTTAGTCACAGCCACGGAAATAAATATAGACAGACAAGACAGTCTGATGCCAACTGGACAACTCCTCCTGCTGTTGCTATGGGCCACCCACCCTACCATGGCAACCAACTGGCTGTAAGTCACTCCGTGGGTCAGAGGTCACGCTCTTAGAACTATGCGACCACCCCAGATCCAAATCTCACCCCATGGTGTGCCCACAGCTCGCTGGCGAGGATGCCACACAACCGGCCCGTGTCTGGTGCTGCCCCCTGTGGGCGGCTGCGGGGCCTGTCTGTGGGGCAGGTGGGGGTATGCCGGGCCAGGGGAGAGGTGATGGAGTCTGTGCGCAGGGCTGCAGAGATGGTGATAGAGGAGGTGAGAGAAGAGCCTTTCTGTCTTTCGGCCCCAGTTAGGGCACTCCCTACAGGTCGTCCAGGCACAAGGCAGGTCAGCTGGCTAATGCGGCTCTCATCTTTTTCCCCAAAAATGGATGCCGGTGTGGGGCTAGTGCCAGCACCAGTTCCGCAACCGGCGATGGAACTGCTCCACCACCCCACGTGGGGTCAACGTGTTCGGGAGAGTTATGACCCAAGGTGAGCTACAGTGCCCTCATAGCCAAACATCCCGCCACGGTGACGGTTGAGCATCTATGAATGTTGCCATAACAACACTACAGCCCCACCCCCAAACAGTGGCTGCCCTAACAGTGCTGACTCCATTTCTGGTCAGGCACACGTGAGGCAGCCTTCGTACATGCCCTGTCGTCAGCGGCAGTGGCTGTTGCAGTGACTCGGGGCTGCAGCCGGGGGGAGCTGGAGAGGTGTGGCTGTGATCGGAAGGTCAGAGGAGTCAGTCCTGAAGGTGAGTCATGCCCCTCACCCACTTTCATTGTCACAGGAAGGCAGTCTTGTTATGGTCTTTTTACTGTATTCTGCTCTAACTTATACAAACAGCTAAAACAATCTTGAAATAATGATTTGAAAGCACTAAATGCCAGTGTACTACAGGAAGAACGACAGTTAGATGCTGATAAAGAATAACACCACACTTGTCTACAGTTGCCCTTCACTTACCTGCACCTTTCCAGTTAATGTTTATTTTAAATGATCTTATCATAACCATACCCTCCCTCGATTTTCTGGCCTTCTGTGAATGACTTTGTATTCCCTCACCACTCTGCCGTGCCATTACTGCAGCTATTATTCACAGAAACTTGTCCGCCAGCTTGCGCGCAGCGTGTTAACCTGGACTCCGTTTCCCAGGATTCCAGTGGTCTGGCTGCTCAGATAATCTGTCCTATGGGGTGGCCTTCTCCCAGACCTTCGTTGATGAGCCAGAGCGTGCCAAGGGCCTGTCGTCAGGGAGGCCACTGATGAACATTCACAACAATGAAGCTGGCAGGAAGGTGCGTTCGTGCGTTTCATTGTGATGCAAGGGTTCTTTCGGGGTCACGGCAAGCTTGTCCCAGGAATCAGGATGGGACAGCAATCCTTTGCAAGGAGCGATTACACACGCTCTGGACAGTGTAGTACCGGGTCGGTGTGTAGCTCTGCCTGATACCAGTGTGTAGAGTTTTCATGTTCTGTCTATATTTGGGCAGGTATTCTACAGACTACCAATTTTTCCTTTAGTCCAAAAACCTGATTTGGTGTATTGGTATCCCTAAATTCCCTTTAGAGCATATGTACCCTGTGGACTAGAATCCCATCCGGGGTGTTGCCTCGATTCTGTGCTTCCTGGGGCAACCACCAGGTCCCCCCTGCTCAGCACTCGCAAGGCTGACAGATGTATGGAGGAACGTCCCCCATTGCTGACTCACTTTGCCCCTTGCTGCACTCACAGGCAATCCTGCACAACATGCAGGTGGAGTGTAAGTGCCATGGCGTGTCGGGCTCCTGCGAGCTCAGGACTTGCTGGAAGGTGATGCCACCTTTCCGCCGGGTGGGCACTGTGCTGAAGGAGCGCTTCGACGGGGCCACGGAGGTATGCGCCCACCTTTGGGGGTGGGGAGGGGGGCTCCAAGCCAATCAGGACAAGCCTAGGCCCATCACAGTTTCCCCCAAAGAACATGAAAGAGCAGCGTGAACAAGCTGTACAGCCGAGCACAGTGCGCACATAGGGCGAAGTAGTGCTCCTAATAAAGGTCTCTGGGCCCCCGCAGGTGCGCCTGTCTCGGGTGGGCTCCAGGACAGCACTGCTGCCCCGTGACCCCCACGTGAAACCACCTGCAGCCCGCGACTTGGTATATCTGGCACCTTCCCCGGACTTCTGCAGCCTGGACCCGGACAATGGGATCCCAGGCACTGCTGGGAGGCGTTGTAACGGTGAGTATGCAGAGAGCTCCCTTTTTCATGCTGCGTGGTTGTAAGCTGAGGCCAGCAGTGCACTGCTTAGATTATAACCATGACATCAGGCTCACTTTCATCTGGAGACTCCAGATTCCCCCTGCAGTCTAAAGCATGCAGTTTGGTGCATGGGGGTCTCTGAACAGTGCTTAGTCAGTGTTTGTGTGGGCTATCATGCTGTTCAGGGTTCCAGCCTAAATAAGCCACACGGAGGATGGATGTGAAGCTGGCTTTGGGAGTAATTTAGTAGTTTGTTCATCTCTCTAGAAATTTACATACTATACCTCAAGCCACAGCATTTCGGACATTTAGAACTGGCTGCATTTCACTTTCAGGGATTATAACTGTTCAATACTGTGACTGTGTGATAAAATCAGTGAGCCTCATTAATGTCACTGTAGTTCTTGCTGTTTGGCTGCAGGCTCACAGAAACTCTGCACAAGCCGTTATGGAGATAGGTGTTACGCTCACAGGAGTTTAGGCAGGGCTGCCTTTAACCCCAGCGCCTCTCCCACCCCCAGGCACCTCCAGACTGGCCCCGGACGGCTGCGAGCTGGTGTGCTGTGGCCCCGGCTTCCAGGTGGGCCGGGCGGAGGTGGTGCAGCGCTGCTCCTGCAAGTTCTCCTGGTGCTGCTCGGTGCGCTGCCAGCAGTGTAAGAACACGGTGCTGATCCACACATGCCAGGAGTGAGCGGACAGGTGGCCGGGCAGGCAGGCGGGAGGCATCTGTGCATACGGCACATCCCGCATTAGCACTAACAGACAGCCAGCTAGGCTCTGCGCTGATGATATGCAAACCAACGAGCTGCTAGTAAAAAGTATCACTACATACAGCTGTACTATCATTTAGCGCATAGCTTGTTTGATTGTTTCATATTCAAACCCACTGTTCAGCCTGTTACCGTCCACTATTTATTTTTACGCCCAGCATCCTTCGTGTTTGTATTTATTTGTGTCTCGGATAACATGCCCCCCCCCCCCGTAGATAGGTGGCAGTCTATGCCCAAGAGGAGAGCTCCTCACACTCTCATAATCCTGGGCCCCTCTGCAGCTTTGACATCTACTGTTTTTTCCTGGATTCCAGCATTTTATAGACGATTTGTTTAAATAAACAGCTTTCACAGCAGCACCGTGTCATGTGATCGACTGCACTAATTTTCCCTAACATGAACTATGTGTCACTTCAGTGGAACAAAAGCATTTCCATGTCAGTTAAACCAATTTTATTACAAATCTGATTACAAACACCCAAAAATGTACTAAATGGTTCTTGCATCATTAATAATAAAGATCAGTAATAAAGATCTAAAATAACATAGCTAGATGTTACATTATTAATAAAGCACAGCCAAAATGGTTTTCTAACACACAGACACTAGAAAATAGAAAACACAAAAACAAAATCACAAAATAAAATAAAAACTCAAGTTTCAATTTGTATATCCTCTATAAATCCCCCAAAACAAAAAATATAATATTCATTTTTTTTATACATCATACTCAATGGAAAATATAAATTCAGTTCCCTGCAGAGGGCAGCACACTGAGATTTTTCTTTAAATGCACTTGAAGTTCCCAGTCACGACCTTGGGGGCAGGGGATAATGTGCCCCACCAGTTCACCTACAGTATGCTAGTAAGTCACCAAAATTCTGGTTCAAGGACGACCACAGGTATTGGTGCATCCCATACAGACATATCGGTGACAAGGGAGAACAGACATGTTGAGGAATAGAGTAATGAGGCGTGACTCCATTTGGCAGTTGTGGAAGGCACAGTGTATGAATGTTTGTGTATGAATTACAGTGAAGTTTAATAACTATTGCTCCCCCCCCCCCCCCCCCCCCCCCC